CCAGCTCCTCTGCCTCTTGCCCTTCGCTTTCACTCTCTCGCCACGGAAACAATCCATCCTTTTTTTCTTTCTTCCTTCCTTCCTTTCTTTCTTTCTTTCTTTCTTTCTTTCTTTCTTTCTTCTCCCTTCTCCTCTCGACTTACGCTCCACGGAATATACGGCCCTCTCAGCCTCTGAATTCTCCTGCTCTCCTATTATTATTCGTGAACAATTTTGTGAACAACGAATTACTACCTGATCTATTCTCTCTCTTCTCCCTCCCCCCCTCCCCCCCCGTTTTACGATTATTGGAGGTTAAAAGTTTCGGATATAATGGAGAAAGGATGTGGAAGGACATTGCTCGGAGGGCAATGAACAAAATTCGAAGAGGCTGAAAGTAAATACGAAAAGTCGGAGAAGATCAAAGAGAAAGGGAGATGAGGAAAGCTTGTAAATTAATATATAAATAAGCGTCATATTTCTCTTACATTTACTTTAGGCCTATGCATTGTTTGAAATCGACACAAAGATGCGGCGCAGATATTATTGATATCTCTCTAATTGTTAGGTTAACACCTCTGAAATAAATGGAAAATTTAAAGCTCGATTTAACTTGACACTTTTCCTCTTCCATTTATAAGAATTATCTCCTCGGTACTCTACCTGCCACATTTTTCCTCCGAATCTATCTCGCCTTTCTCAACCGAGCCTCCGAGGATAAACGAGCCATCCAAGAGGAAGGCACGAGAAATCGAAATCCGACTTTAGACTTTCATCTTTTGGATTGGCCAAAAGAGTCGACCTTGTACCTCGCGAAAATCGATGCAAGATAGCGGAAAGCGTTGCACGGTTACAGCCCTCCCTCCCCTCTTTTATTCCCAAGGACGGCTTCGAAAATTTCACGAGCCCTTTCCTCAAAACCCACACTTTCTTTCTTTCTTTCTTTCTTTCTTTCTTTCTTTCCTTTCATTCCAACGAAACGAAGCGAAACTCTCACTTCTCGTAGAAAAAAAGAGAGCTGGTCGTCCTTTCGTTTCGGTTGAAGAAAAAGGAAAAAAAATGTCAAGCCTGACACACGTACACCGCACGTTTCATAATTACGATAGCTCAGCGTTGCGAAACGCGTGTTGGCGCGTGAAAAAAATTTGGCACGTTCCGATTCGTACACAACGTTTTGGCCGCAACGACCATCTATGCAATAAACCGTCGTCGAGTTATCTTGTTCGGCTCGAAACGAGGGGAGGGGAAGAAGAGGAGGGAGAACCCCTTATACCGTTTATCTTCGCTCGTTTCCCTTCCTCGGGATATAACCTTATAACCGCATCGATTTCGAATTTTCCCCACGACGATAAACCGAAATCGATCCCCGTAAGGGAGCAATAAACTAAATCCGGAAGATTCAGCGACAGAGGAAGAAGAGGAGGAAGAGAAAAGAAAAAAAAAAAAGAAAAGGATCCAGAAGAAAAATTCGAAAGAGGAAGTACGAAATCTAGCAACCCTTGGATCGACTAAACTAAAGGAGGATCCCTAAACTCCTTTAGGGACAAGGGACAAAGAGGGGATCTTTTTTTTTTTTTTTATGT